CACACACACACACACACACACACACAAGAATAACCGCATAGAAGAACATGAAGCTACAAGGAAAACAAAGTAGTCATGAAATGTCATACAAAAGTCATGCCAAAGTGCTGGCGAAGTAGCATATAGGAGTCCAATATGAAATACATCTCACATGGTACAATGTGTCGTCGATACTCGTGCCGAGTCGCACAGGGCCGTACACCAATGGGATGCAGCCTACACCGCTAACTAACAAAGCTGAAAATAAAACCCTAACAAACATCTACGTAAAACGACAAGTTAGAATGAAGTCCAACCTCTAACAAAAACCCAATAACTAAAAAACAATATGAAAATGTCATACATAAACTGAAAAACGAAACAAACAAACACTGTCGACGACACTACCCAGGCTACCTGCATGCTGAAGTCCATGAACTGGTCCGAAGTCCCTAAAACCTAACTATATGAACATCATCCTAAACAATATACAAAAACGTCAGAACACTAAGCACAAACAACATAAAGGCGTCGCGGAAGCACTGGAAGGGGAACGAAGCTGTCAATACCGTCGACTTCCCTTCCCCTTACCACTGCCTCTCTGCCTCGTCCCACTCGTGCTGCGTGTCGACGAAACACTCCCTCGCCCCTCTGACTCCTCGTCGCAACGGATGACCCTCGCCTCCTCCGACTCCTCGTCTCCCACCGCCCTGGAGGGGACGGGTCGTCTACGTCATCATGTCCTCTACGAGAGCCACGTCGTCTACGAGAACCATGCCGCGGTGGAGGGGAGGGCTCGTCGTCGTCGTCGTGGTAGCTGTCATCATCCCCGTTCTCGCTCTCCTCCTCCTCACGCTCCTCGTCGTCCTTGTACTCGTCACCCTCCTGTGGGCCCTCCTCACATGCAGGCTCCGTCTCGGGATCGTCCTCCACCACGGTCACATGGGCAGCCCCCGTCCTCACCCGAACAAGCCTAGCACTCACCTGAGTCACCTCTGCGACTGTCTTCTCACGAGGAGAACCGCGCGGCATCTCCAACCCCTCGGCTCCAGAAGACTCCTCCAATGCGGCATCCCCCGTGGCAGGCATCATCTGAGGCATGGAACTCGTACGACCGACTCCGCTCCTGCGCGATGTCTGCTCACGCACAGCACGCGCTTCTGCTGCCAAAGCGGCCTGCAAGGTACACCCGGCCTGTCCAACCCCGCGAACATCTCGCGGCTGAGATACTGCCGCCATGACCTCCCTCGGCGCACCCCTCCCGGTGTCAGCCCCACCCAAACCTGGCTGCTGTCGTGCAGTGTGCACTGTGACCCGACGTATGGAGTCCAGGTCGATATCCGTCCTCCCGAATAGCGACGTGTCAAGAGGGAGGCTCCCTACGACCGTCGTGTCACGAACCCTGGGTCTGGTGGGCGTGGATGCTGAACGGGGGGGCTGACCGACTGGTGTCGAGGGGGAATCGTTGTGACGTGATCTCGGAGGAGGAGGCGGCATACGTGGTCTGCTAGAGTCGGTGTCCTCCCGCCATGTCATGTCACGCACAGCAGCCTGTGCGAGCTCCGCGAAATCCAATAGGCGAGCTGTATCCTGAGGAGCTCGCCGCCCAGTAACAGGTGTATGAAGAACTGCCTCAGATCCTAAATCTACGACTATGACCGGTGGTACCTGAACAAATGCCTCCTCCCCAGAACCTGACCCGTGCACACACGGTCGAACTGGCCGCATCGTCGTCGTCATCTGCAAGCCCGTGAACGGTACGAACGAACTGCTACCTCCGGGGATATCCGCAGGGGGTGCATCCTCACGCTCCTCTTGTGGCTGCTCTACTACCTCCTCGCACCCCTGTTGAAGCGTGTATGTCTCTCTCCCGGAGCGTCCTGCAAATGCCTGCTCGATCTCCTGTGTGAAGTACCCAGCGGCCGCTAGGGCACGCGCCACATCCTCTCTCTGCGTGAGCAGGGGTGGTCGGATCCCCCAAAGACATGTCCATGAAATCCCCCATCCCCAGCCCTGACGCCCCCCTCTGTCCTGATGGCGACGCCCCCAGTGCCCTCCTCGTGCCCGGGGTCAAACCCGCTAGTGTGGGACCCATCTCATCATCGACGAAACGCTGGACGATCGGGTCAAGGTCGCCGCCTCCCTCTCCTGTACCATGGGCGACGCCCCCCCTTACCACACCCTCCTCTCCCCCAACCAACGCAGCAGCATCTGCCCTCACCACATCCTCCTCCATCTCAACCTGGGCAGCACCATCATCTACCCCTACCACACTCTCGTCTACCCCTGCCACAGCCTCCTCTCCCTCATCGTCCCTCATCGTCGCCTCCTGCGTCCTCACCACATTGTCCTCTCTCTCAACCTCCGATGGCAGCACGCCCTCCTCTCTCTCGACGTGCACACCATCATCTACCTCCACCACGGCCCCCACTACTCCAGCTACCTCCTCCTCCATACCCCGAATACCCTCAACTCCGCCCGCTCCGGCGGCTCCGTGCTCCTTCGCTCGTCTCTCCCTCGCCTCCACCGGTGGTGCCCCTCTATGAACACCCATCTCCCCCAAGTCCCTCGATGCACGCGGGTCCAAACGAGCTGACGGGCTACGCTAAACAATGATCCATGCCCGCGGCTGCGCAACGAGGATCCCAAGTCCTCCCTCCCAACCGGTGCAGGTGAGCGCTCGTCATGCCGAACGGGAGCGGGCGGAGCGGATGCTGGGAATCCTGGGATAGAATGACGCGAAAGAGGCGACGGGGACGAGGGTCCGGACTGTGTAGCGGGAATACTCGTCTGCTCTCGCGTGGTCTTGGAAGCAGGCGTCTGCTCCTGCGCGGTCGACGAAACAGTCGTCCGCTCCCGCACTGTCGTGGCAGGACGCGGCTCCTCACTCGCAGTCAGGGGAGCAGGCGTCTCCTCCCGCAAGGTCGTGCAAGGACGCGTATCCTCCCGCGCGGCAGTGGGTGATCTCTCCTCCGTGCCCCCGAAAGATCCCCAAAACTCCTCGCCCCCCATCATATCCATGTCTCGCTCGTCTGCCGCCCTCCGCGCGGTGTGCATCCTCTCGTCACGCACGTCGCCCCCCTCGTGCAACTCATCAATCTCACGCGGGATGGGAAGCATCGGGTCGTCCGCTGCTTCGGACTCCCTCTCGTCCGCAAAGTCATCGTCCCTGGGGTATGGGCGAAAGATAGTCGCACGAGCACCGAAAACAGACTCAACAGGGGGCGGCGCGGAAGACTCAATGGGATCGCGCGCAATGAGGGCATCCTGCTCCTCGATCTCCTCCTCTGTCATCCCACTCCTCGTCCCCGAGCGCACAGGCTCCACGTCCAATCCCGCCTGAGCGTCAAGCATGCCCTCGTCTCGCTGCCAAGGGAGGACATATCCACAACCTGCACGTCTATACTCTATCAACCGCACGTTTGCGGTGATCTCAACAAGATGAACGACCTTCTCGAAGGCCAACTGATTACGCTTCTTCATATGGATGCCCTCGTGAACCGTCCAGTTCCTCTCCGCTGGAGAGGCGCAGGACCACATGTGCATCAAACGAATAGCGCACTGCTGTAAATCGGGTGCATAGCCCCCGTACTGAGACCACCACGACGCACACTCCAACGTCTCGCAGCCTCCGCTGCAACTACTCGCTCGAGCGCGGCCCTCTGCCCCGACCCAAGACCCATACCTACCCTGCTGCAAGTGAAAGTCCTCGAACTGCCGACATACCTCAAGATAACGACCACCCGACTCGTCGTGGCCTGTCTGAGACAACATATACCTCTTGGCTTGTCGAACAAGCCAAGTGTGGTGCCAGTCGAGCTGTGCGGAGAAGTACTGAACATCCCGGTGACGGGGGTTCAGTAAGAACGCGGCGCAGTGTGCGGGCTCCAGCATGTGCTGTATACAGGCCTGCACACGCCTCATGATACGGTCAGAAAAGGACTGGCCAAGAGGAATTCAAGCGTCCCGCACAAGGCGTGCAAGATCCCGAGTCCACTCTACAACGAGGGACATGAACTGCCCGCCACGGTCTATCCGCCTTAGCAAGTCCATGACACGATCCATGACGTGCTTGATGGCACGCATCCTCTCCCACCAAGGGGACCACCTGATCTGTCGGCACACCCAACGCGCCATGTCGCGAACGTCGGGGGACCACGGGATCCTAGCCCATGCCCGACCGTCCTCCGTTGTTATCATGCCCTGCAAACGATCCTGCAGAGCGAGCAGCCTCTCCAACATGGAGTACACGGACGCAAAGCGCGTCTCGCATGAAAGCACGAGGCCCAACGCCGCGCTCCGCTTCCGAAAGAAGTTGAGAGCGGCCTGGTGGGTTTTGAAAAACACCACCGAAACTCAGGCACGCGTGATCGTGTCCACGAAAGAGGTGCAGATCGTGCCAATCTCTGACAACAACTTGTTGCAGACATGGACGCAACACATGAGCCAAGTGATCCTCCTCAGCTCAGGGGGCATAGATGGCGAGGCCAAAGCCCTCGCAGCCCCCATGTATGCAGAGGCGGAGTCAGTGCATATAGCATTGACCAGCTGTGGGCCACCAAATCTGAAAGCATGAAAGATGGCGACCCATCTCTGCAGGACGTGCACCGCATCGTCCGGCTCCCCCTCTCGGTTGATCGTCGTGTACATGACGACCCCCCGAGACCCAACTGCGAGGAAGTACACGATCGGTCGCCCATCTCGTGACTTCCTCCCGTCAGAGAGGAGGGTGGCGCCACTCACCCATAAGGGCTGCCTAACCTCCTCCAACTCCTCCGCCAACTGCTCGCGGTGGATCTCCACAGTTCACATGTTTGCGATCTCGCTGTGGGATGGAAGCACGAGAAGAGGTGCTCCACCAGGTTGCCGAAGAGCAAACTGCTGGAGGTCCCGGTATGGCGTGTTATGGAAGGCATTAAAGGCAATCCCGCTGGAATACACCCAGCGAAAGAATGCCCTCCTCCACTGACCAATCCACTCACCACCATACGTGTCCGTCATTTTCTGTTGCTGCAGCCTCTTCCCTGCACTGGTGCCAAAAGCTGTGCACCCCCCTCCTTCCTCTTCGAAGAACCCGGCGTGCTTGCTCTATCAGGAACAACACACTTCGAAGAACTCGGCGTGCATGTCGTCTCAGGCGGGACGGCCTTCTTCCCGCACTTCCGCTCCCAGTCCACCGCCCTCTGATGAGCCGTCGGATCGGACTTCGGCACGCCCACCTCTCCCCTCGGTGTCCACTCCCCCTTAGCCATGCCAACCTCTAGGTCAACGTCTGCCTCGTCCTCCTCCGCGGCACCCGCACCCTCCCCATATCTCGCAACACCTCCCTCCGCATAATGCCCACACCCTGTGCAGGACGCTCCGCCTCGCCACCCATCGCACCCGACCGCGGGACATCGAGACCACGCTCGTGTGCGAACCGCCGCACCCTCTGTACCTGATCGGCCTCGAAGCGGTGTGTGCATTTCTGCGCAATTTGGTACAATGCATCATCGGACACCTTCTTGCAATAATTCTGCTATTACGGAAAAAACCCGTCCCGTGCTATTACGGAAAAAAAACATCCCGTGCTATTACGAGCTCGCCCGTGATATCAAGAGGAGGGCGTCCGTGAAATAGGGTCAATGGGTCGCTCGCGTCCTCCGCTCGGAAAGCCGCTACCTCTTCCCCTAGGTAGCGTAACGCCCTGCTAACTGCATCACTACTCCCTGTCGTCGCGAGGCCCACCACGGCCTCCCTGACCGCACCCGGTCCCAAATACAAGTAGGCTCTCACTACGCCTAATCCTTGTCCCGGMTGGYGCTCTCTGTACGTCCAAAGCCACACGTCCTCGGACAGGATTATGGACCTCCACRCAAACTGGCCGTCAGCGTGTCGAATGCTGCGTCCGGGGATCGTGAGCTCGACCAGATCCCCCTCTATGAGTTCAGGGGGCTCTAAGTCCCAGTCAATGGTAGCCCCATAGACCTCTACTTGCACCCGCGGCCACATTCAACTAGCGGCTAGAGAGAGCACGGCAAGCGGAAGGTGTAGATTAATGACTGAAATTTCGCGTCGCTTTCCTCACGCCTCCGAGAACAAGCTAGTAGGTTCACCTGAAATCAGGTTACTCCAACGTCTCTTTCCCTTCTCCTTCTAGGGAATTCTTTTGTATTTTTTAATTATAAATAAAAAAAAATGTATTAAGTTAAGTTAATTTTTTTTTCTTAGTTTATATATATTAAGGATCAATACTTATATAAGCCCGCCGAGTTTGATGCTTTTTAGGGGTARAAATAAAATTYCGGGATTTTACTAAAATTTCGGCAGCGTTTCGCCTCCCCCCCGTTGGGATGGGGTTCGGGACTATTGTCCCTAGACAAATGCTACCTACCTAGAACTAAGCCAAATGAAACAGGAGGAAAGCCGCTGAAAG